TCCTTCAAACACACACAGGACAAAATAAATGTCCCTTCAACAAAATCCTTCAGCTCACTGACCACATCTACAGTAAAACATTGATGACATTCAAAAATTCCAAACTGTGTCGAAGCCATGAATACAAGTTCACTTAATAAGTAAACACTAACAGCTGCCCATATAAATAACTGTCCAGAGGATGGAAACAAAGCATTAAGCCAATCCAGAACTTAGCTTAGGGTGGATAAATCTGCTGTGTCCACGGCGTACAAAGGTCTTCACTGAGGTAATAATTTAACGGCACAGTGGGAAGGACAGAGTGTCTCTGACTAACCCTCTTCTGAGACTGTTGGGCATCTTTCTCATCTCGCAGTCTTTTGTTCATATCCCTGGCACAGAGAAAGAAAATCATTTAGAACCATTCTCACCCATGTCTGGAGTCGTGAGACATATGAAAGAGGCAATTTCCAATTACACGAATGGCTGGGCAGGTGCTGCTTTCACCTATAAATTCTTGTCAGGATATTTTCTTTTGTCTCCTTAACAAAAGAACTTGACCCGAAACAGCAAGCAGCCCATTAGACTTACCGCAAAAGCTCCAGTTGCCTCAAGAGGCTTTCCTTCTCTGTCTGTATGTTCAGGGACACCTTCATCACATTTCTACAGTGAAGCAAACAAAAAGACTTATTATCAAATCAAATTCTTATCAAAACATCCCAAAAAAATACCAACAGTGAGTACCACACCACAGACAGGGAGAAGGTATTATGAGATAAACTTACATTGATGATTTTGATTTTTTTCCATGATATTTATACACAACTAAAGATTTACATTATATAACATAAAATCTGTTGTTATTCCTGCAATTATTATCAAATCAGCTGCCAGGGACCTAGAGGTCATGTTTATACTCATCTGAGTTCAAACTATTGTTTATGCTAATGTTATATTCTCCACATTTGGGTATTTTTGGTCTCAGAAAAAGGGATGGAACAAGTTCTACATGTATTTATCCAATGACACATTAGCAGCTTCTTTCTGGTTTTTATCAAAATGAGTCCCTTACTTCTGTCTGGCCACTTGTTCTTGGGCAGCGCTGAGCTGAAGCCGGCTGAGCTGACCCATGGCAGCCTGCAGCTGCTCTCTGCTGTTCTCCACCTGCTCTTGTAACTGCACATTGAGGTGTCGTAGCTGCTGGTTCTGTTTCTTAATGTTTATCTGCTCACAGCTCAGCTGGCGGATTCTGGTCTCCAGCTTAGGACAAAGATGGATCCTGTTTAGTCGCTCATTAAATTATGGTGGCCTTCATAACAACTTTAGTAGCATAGCCTACCTCTTTCTGTCTGGTCATTGTATTCTCCAACTCTTGCTCCTGCATCTTTAGCTCCTCCTCCAGCTCTTGCCCCCTCTGGTTCTGTCTATTACTGTCCTTGATTTCACAATAAATTCATTAAATGCTATTATGAGAATCACTTTGGTAAAGTTCACATAGGCTGGACCATATAGCACGTGTGTGTACCTGAGCCAGGCGCTTCTCTCGCTCCTCTTTGATTTGACTTTCCACTTCTTCATATATGGATCGAACAACCTGATCATGTTCGCTCTCCCGTCTAAAGCAGAACAAATCACAGTTGAATCAATTGATATATAAAACTCATCCCACTCTGAATACTCACAGTCGGAGTGGGCAGAAAACAGTCAGAGGAGGTTGGACCTGCGTAGAGCTTGTTCCAGACTGTCTCTCTCTCTGATGGAGTCCTGTAGATGGGACACTGCGTGGGCAAGGACACCCTCCAGGACACTGAGCAGCTCTGGTCTGTCTCTCTGGAGCTCACACCACAGAGTGCAGAGCTCCTCCTGACTGATGTACAATGAACAAGAGGACATCTGTTTTTAACCCCACACCATCACTGTATTTATATCACATAAAGGGTTTGGTTAAACTGAAAAACTGTAAATACAGTATGTGCAACAATAGCATCAAAAACATTTGCATTGTTTGCTCAAAAAAAGTAAACTTTGACATGGTAAGTTTTTATTTAACAAAGAAGAATATACAGTCTCCATTATATGAGGTGTGCCCATACTAGACACTATAATGGAATCCAGCACAGCTTTACCAGATATTCTACCTTTATTACACTTTCATTAACACGTTGAGGACCGCAGCGACACATGCATGCCGTTGACCTACCCAACAGTTAGGCGGATTGTTAGGGTCAAGGTGTGGATGGGTGGCTGGAGAGGACTGTCAAGACTGCACTGTAAACGGTTAATACACGTTGTTGTAGACCACCTCGTCTGTTTAGTGACAGTCATTCTAGTTTTATGTAAACTGCTTCTTTCACTCCTCTTTCAAACCACCGGTCTTTTCTGGCCAAAATGTACACACTGCCATCCTTATTGAGAGCCCCTTGTCCTTCAGATACAGTATCACTGCTGAGTCTTGTCGTAAGGAGTTGGCCCAGTGCTGTGAACATGCAGTTTAACACCCATCCACACTTTGTCTCATGTGACCCTACCAAACCACATGATGGTTGGCTAGGCCAACAACTCACATGCAACTTATAAGGCCCTCAAGCTGTTAATGATTCCACAGAGGGTCTCCCCAACAGTCAGTCACAACTGAATAAGCTTCTCGGATGAGAGGTGAAACTTCCTTAAGAACTTCAAGCAAGGCCAGTTGCCAACCTCAGCATGTCATATATGCCATGACCTGGATGACTGAGAATCCCCACAGACATTCGAACATGTAATACACAAATGCTAAATGGCTACAATTTAACATGTCAGTAGAGCAGTTATTAGTAGTATTTAAACCAGTTCCTTGGGTTTTCAGGAAGATACAACCACCTACATGCTTGTATTTACTTACTTTTTGAAGAGTTTGTCAGCCCCGAGCTCCAGCAGTAAGTTTGCAAATCTGACGGCAGCGTCTTCCTGGGAGAAGTCCACCTGGTCAGTGTCCTCTTCTGCTTCATCTTGACCCAGCTCAGTCGCCTCTGTCAGTCCCACCAGCTCACCTGCACCACAGACAGAGAGAAGAAAAGAAGAATTAGTTGACAGCAAATGACGAATGTTTCTGAATGATGGTAGTTTTTCCCATAAATGTCAGTGAGTAACAGTCTCACCAAGTCCTTTGCTGAACTCAGCAGGAGTAAGGAATCCATTGTGTTCTCGGTCCAGGGTCTCAAACACCGTCTCCAGCTGCTCAGGGGACAGCGGCAATTCCGCTTGTAGCCTCTGACCGTAGGAGGGATAAAAGTTCAACACTGCACAATTAGCCTAAATGCTGTTATCATGCCACACTGGCTCCTCACCCTCACCTGCATATCCCTCTTTGTGATAAACCCTTTCCCCTCTTTGTCACACAGCACAAACAATTCCCTGGCCTTGCCCATGGTCTCAGACTGTGGGCTTCCTGGCACTCTCTCTCTGGATGAAATCAGTGGGCTGTGTCCCCGGCCCGGCCTGGGGCTCCCGACTTGCCGGGTCCGCAGCCTGGGACTCGATGGGACGGCCTCACCGCTGCCTTGACCCACCAAAACCTCGCCATCATTTAGCCACTTATACATTACTGTATAGAGAAACACAGTTACAGGGGGGTCATTAGAAACAATTAGCTAACAGACAGCAAAATAATGAAGAGTTCTTGCTTTTCTTTGTCAGTGTAATAAATATAGACTCCAGCAGGTTGTGATCAGAGCTCCAATGATTGTTTTGATAATCAATAAATCAATTACATAATTTTCCAACATGAACACCACAAATTCACCTATTCCAGCTTCTTGACTGTTAAGTATTTCTTATAGTAAACTGAGCATCTCTGGGTTTTGGACTGTTGATCAGACAAAATAAGACATTTTGAGACATCGACACTGACTTTAGGAAAGCATGTGGGATATTTTCAGACTGTTTTAAACTTTACAAATACAACTCTTTGACATTTTATATATAAAATGATTAATTGATCATTTTAATTGACTTAATCAATTCACTGTCAGATTCATCAATAATGAAAATAATCATTAGTTACAACCTTAATGAGAAATCTCTCAGTGTGCTAAAATTATTTGATTGCTAAAACTTCCTGTCTGAAACAGAATCAGCAGTATTTCCTTTTACCTTCTCAGTAAACTAAAATTAATTTAAAGACATTTTGGGTCTTGCCTCTCAGACACAGACGCTGGCCCTACAGATCCTCCCTCATCAAACATGAGATGAAGAACAAACTGAGCCGTGAGTGTGCACATTATCTACAGCAGCTGCAAATCAGGTTTTTGACATGATTACACTCAATAAGATTTTATAACTGTTCGAGGAATTCAGTGCAACAGCATGCTAAAGAGGAAGTGATTTCTGATACTTCCAAAATGCCAATATTCTTAGGTGACCTAATGCAGCACAGTCAGCTGTCCTCACTGCTTAATTACATGAGGAAAACTTTAATAAATGTGGTGCTGCTTCTAGTGCTCATGACTACACACCAGGATGTGTCAAAGCCCATAAGCAGGATGGTGTCATGTGAGGGGAGTTACTGTGTACTTGAAGGGTAGGGTGGATAGTTACAGGAGAGTCGATGCAAATTAAACATTTGCAGTTGTTTGCATTGTCGGAACAACCATGACAACAAAACTAGAGAACTATGAGAAAAATGTTTGTGTATATCCATAAAGATTGATAAGACAATGATTGTTGACAGATACCAGCATCACACATAATTAGTCTTCAGTTTAGAATGCATTTCCATTACAGGCAAGAAAATCTAGGAAAAAGTCCAGAATAGTTTCATTTAAAGAAAATGACATATTTCAACATTGACGCACAAGAAGGACATTCCTGGAGGCAATCAGGTACACAGTGTTAAATTAAATTAAATACAGCCTCTGCTTCCTATCTCTCAAGTGATAAAGGCTAGTAAAGGATCTTGCAGATGATCTATGAAGCCTACAAAACTTTCTTAAAACATAAGCGAAATTCTGGGATTACAGATAAAACGCTCATGTAAACATTGTATGTCAAAGCAGTCTCTCCATTAGCCAACAGCCACGCCAAAGGTCAAATAAACTTAAACACACCTAACACGCTACGTGTGATGTGAGGTGGAGCTGTTCTCACATTCGGAGAAATAACTCCAGCTTATCGCAGCGTTTACGACATGTTGCAGGCTACGAAGCCGTAGCACTTGAAACGCACCTACACTTTCTGTGACAAATGTCAACATGCTCATTCTGACAGCCTGTGTTAACGTTCAGTCAGAACATATGTTGCTTTGAAACACTGACAGCTCTGATAATAACACAGTAAATTAAACAGACAGCATGGTTGTGAAATGCATGTCAGTGCTTGCGACTGTACCAAACGTTTCACTCAAACACAACTCAGTCATCTACAATGAATTAAATGACTGACATACGACCGATTTTGGAGCAATCTAGCTAAAAGGTGAAACTAAAACCGATAGAATGAGGCTATGCACATTTATTAACGAGTCTATTAAAGGTTAGAATAACTCCAAATCTTCGTCTCTACGTTGTTATTCCACACAGCGGAGACAATATAAACAAAACATTGTCTAAATGTTTCTAAAAGACACATATTACTGTATTTTATGTCAGTTTAGGCAAGTTATAGACACTTCGGATACTCACCCACAGTGCGCTGTACTCAGATGCCAACTTACCTTTCGACTGACAGTATTTCAAGAAATACAGTCTGCAGCCGCTAGGTGGCAGTGACGGGTGTTGTTCCTCGTCTTCTTCATTTATTGTTCGTTAAGGACCGTTGGCAAACAGCTTTTACGCCTCCTACTGGCTGGAGTGTGAATCAGAATGATTTCTATGTTTTTTCCCCCCAGTAACACGATATACAATATACAGTAGGTACAAGAACAATATTTGTGCCAGAAGACTAGGCAGTGAACACAAACTAAGTTAAAAAAAAAGTAAACTAATTAGGGGAATAAAACAAAACAGCTTACCAAAAAAAAAAGAAAAGAAAAAGCAAACAGATTAATGTGTATAGCCTACATGTAGACGAATATTTAAAAACAGGCCTATAAACGGCAGATAAGACATAATTAGTAAAAATAAGATAGTAAAAAAGAAGAAGAAAGCAAACATACTGCCAACAATAAATACAATTAAATCCCAAATAAGAGACAATAATCCATAAAGATCAGACCTTAGATTCGACCAGGAATACAAACATTGGTATAAAGGCAAATTAACCTTAGGATTTACACTTCACTCAGACGTGTCCATGGCAGGTGTAATCAGTGGAGGACTCAATTATGTCTATGACAGTAAACTCATCATCTTTGTAGTTTCCACAGCTGGTCAAACAAAGAACACCTCAAGGAATAATGATGGGCATGACTCCCTATTCTATACACTGAACAATCAGCCCAAAAAAGAAAATATTTGTCGGGTAATGAAAATGTCACAGGAGCTACTGTCAATAATGTCTATCCCTTATAATAACACCGAACCAAAATGTCTATACCATAATTTTTGTACTTTGGGCAACAATATTATCGAGGAGTATTTTGAGAACTTGTAGGTTAGTAATTACGGTAAGACGTTGCGTTACCATGGAATTTACGGAAATACATACGCTGAAAAGCAGCGGTAAATGCTGTGAGTGGGGAGCATTGTTTATTGACGAAACTAGGATGTATAAGGAATTTAATGTTTTTTGCTGTTTCGTGGTGACTTATTTTCATTCTTCGCAAGTTTTATGGTAAGGAAATGTTGGTTAAATGGTATGTGCGAAGCCTACTTATATAACAGCACCATTAAGCGGTAAATAACATGATGTTTAACGTAGAAAACGTGTCTAGGGGGAATTACTCGAAGCTAAAATCTGAGCATTGTCAGTGCCAACCGAGTGATTTGTTGTGGAAATATATCAGTAGTAAATCACTTAACCGTTGCCAAGATTATCTGCAAACAAATTAAATTACGATAGGACCTCGTATTGCCATAGGTAGATTAGTTAGATGCGTTAAAGGAAAGAAAAGGAATGTCCCACCAGAATAACAACAAACCAAGGGACGGTTGTGGCCACATTGGTTAAATTAAAGTTTTGACCTTTCCACGCCTGCCTGTGTAATAGTCTGAGCATGTTGACCTTATATAGTTACGCTTACTGCTAATTTAGCTGCCAGAGAGAGACATCATCTTCTCTAAACACTGGATAGGTAACTGTGAAATACTATAGAGGTATCAAAGTTTTTCTTTCTATCACGCAATACAACGAAGGTCTCTGTTGTTTCACACCTTTTGCTTTTCCTCGCAGGTAATGCAGCAGATGAAGAGACTGTCTACACCGAAGATGTCGATATGCATTTGAAAAGATCAGAAACATTTCATCCGATATCTTGGACTGCTTACAGTCACCATATAGATACGTTTTGCCTCAGGCCTGCACACAGCGGATTTCTTTACAGAACTGTCTAGAGTGAATAAGGCAATAGAATATTTTTGGGAAAAGCCACCACTTTCTGAGTGTGAATGGACAAGTTGTGACTCAGTTTGGCATGTCCGTTTCTAGACCCCTGCAATATTTTGTACTTAAATATGTAGGGGTAACTGTCGACCTTTTAGGCTTGTGCCACCATTAAGTACCTGTGCTTTGGTTCTGCAGCCAGAACAAAGGAGGAGAGTAAAGTGTGAAGCTTGGTGGTTTGCAGGATCAGATCCCAAAGATGTTGCAGACTGGTAACTACTCGCTGGTCCTGCTGGTCCAGCTGACGCTTTTGGCCTATGACCTCTTCGTCAACTCCTTCAGTGAACTTCTGAGGGGAGCGCCTGTCATCCAACTTGTGCTTTTCATGTAAGTCACTGAACTACAAGCTGAAAAGATTAGCTGGTTCATTTTCTTTCTATTATATATTTCAAGTTTCATATCACTGTAAATTATTAAAATTGTTCCTCTACATATGTTCAAGGAAACAGCATGATTAAAAACCTAATCCCTTAATACAATAAACTAGCAGCCATCCAAATATTTTAGTTGCCAGGGATTTTACCACATGTAGAAAATCTTTCCACCTTGTTTTTAAAGGTTACTGAAACATCCATGTCTGATTTAAGTTTATTTTTTCTTGAGGTTGTGGATTAATTTGCTCTTCAGCTCTTTCAGTTACTAATAATCTTTTGACACTTTTGACTGTGTCCAGTGTGTATTCATGAAAAATACTGACACCTCTTTTTTGACGGAATTTTGTTCTTCATTCAATAGCCGGTTCATTTGGCAACAGGTAAAAATCCACACAGGCAAATCCACCTTCATTAGCGAGAACAAGTCAAATCCTTTTGATAAAGCAAAGAGTTTTTGCTTCAACAGTATCAACCATTTTAAATGGCATGACTAGTTAAAAGTCTTGTCATAACCAGAGCTCTAATACCACAAATAAACAAATGACGTCCTTTTTTTTTTTTTTTAGCATCCAGGACATTGCCATCTTGTTCAACATCATCATCATCCTGCTGATGTTGTTCAATACCTACGTGTTCCAGGTGGGCCTGGTGTCCCGGCTGCTGCAGAAATTCAGGGCTCTGCTGATATTCTCCGCGCTTTACCTGACCCTCAGCATCTGCTTCCACTGCTGGGTGGTGGTACGCTCGCTCGCACTATCACATACAGTACACCTGCATTTCAACTCTGTGCAAACACCAAATCAAAATTGTAACATTTTAACTGAACCTGAAAGCATTTCCTTTCCTCTAGAACCTTAGATGGCTTCAGTCAAACCATTTTGTTTGGACAGATGGTCTTCAAGCTCTTTTTGTTTTCCAGAGAACAGGTAATTGGGGAATTAATTCAGAGGTAAATTTTCCATTGGCGTTGATCTACTTTCTGTAGTATGCTGTCACTGAATAACTGTACTTCTTTCTGTTAACAGCGGCAGTGTTGTATTACTACTTATACAAACGCACAGCAGAGTTTATGGGAGACCCGAGGCTGTATGAGGACTCCCAGTGGCTGCGGGATGCCTTCGCAAGAGCTCATTAGTGAAGGGATGGTTTTGAGAGAGAACTAAAATGTTCTGCTAGGAAAGGCCCCTATTTTCTTTTTTTATGATTAAACACATAGTAAGCATGATTCTATTAACAGAAGCAATGGACTGATGCTGAATGCTTATGGAACTCACTTGCTTATGGAGCAAAGTCTTAATCGTGGTTTGTGTTCACTGGCTCATTGTAGCCAAGTGGACAGCTGGTTAAGTGGTTTACAGCGGCAGGTAAGCCAAACATGGCATGTGTAGCGTTGTATTAATCAGGATTGAGTCTGTTTATCTGTGGCCTTTGTAAGTCAATTTGCGTTGCACCTAGAATGCAACACATTGAAAGGAGTCAAAAGTTTAGGAAGATGTGGGCAGTCATTTTTAAAATAATTTTAATGATACAGTTTGTAGAGCTACACTCAATAGTTTTGTTATTCCCTTGCAAAGGAAGAAATTGAGTCATCTATTTTGCCTTATGTAAGGTTAGTATGTGCTGTTTACATGATTGTTTTAATATGCCAAATTCCATGTGAATCCTGCAGTCTATGAGTAGGAATCTCTGAATCATGTTCATGCTGTTTTTATTAAATATCCTTCTCTAACCCTGGTGTAATCCTTCATCACTAAGGTACTCAGTATTATCCTGGAGACAAGGTGAAACTGACTGCTCTAATTTTAACACAAAGATTAATCAGGGATTGTGGTTTTAGACACTACTCATGAAACACACCATACATAGCCTTCAGTGGATCAAAATAACCTATTGCCAAGCACCCAGCAGGTTAAGTTGCTGTGTACTTCAGATCTGGTCTCAATAATCAATATTTTATATAACTGTTACTAAAATCTGTAAGAGTCATTGCAGCTATCAGACTACATAGAGACGACACCAGAAGTTGTAGAAATCCCCTTTACTTGTGAAAAGAAAACCAGAGTCCATATATTCACAAAATATTGTTAGAGCAGTCCACTTAAATCCAAAATCCATTTCATGTTGTGTGTGTGATGTCCTTCATTCCCCTGGAATGTGTCAAATTTTAACTCAGTTACCCGAAACTGCAGAAAAACAAGGCCGACAGGGAACAGCAGTTAGCCACAAAACCATTTCAATGATTAAATAAAAACTAGTTGCCTTTAAAAGTACCTTCATACATAGATGCCAACCCAGAGTAGTAAGAACAGCACACCGAAGCCCATAAAAAGTGAAGCCACGAGGGAGATCAGCAGCTCTTTGTACACATCTCTGGTGTATTTTGTTGAAGTCACCTCATAACTGATTAAAAGTTAAGGTCATCCAATAAAAAAATATGATCAGCAGCCAAAATCCATGCTCTCTTCAAAGTCTAATGCCTCCTGCTTCACATATGAGTGCAGCTTATGATGCAATTGTCCACAGTGTTGGTGTATCATGCCACAAGTCTCCTGTCAGCCTGTATTTTTTAATGACATTTACCTAAACATGTTGGAAGGGCACACTTAAAGATTACAATATTGACTTTAATGAAATACTTTGTCAACCGATTATAATTTGACTGGGCCATTTTTGTGCCAGTTTTACTAAAGCAGTCAACAAACCTTTGGCAGCATATGAAAAATAATAAAAATACTTTTGTCCCGGTTCCAATCATAGACTAGAATTTTTTATTTGTTTTGACTTTTGACCCCAGAAAGTGCTTCTGTATGGTCTTATTGATGCCCCTCAGCATGTGCTACATGAACATTTTTTTTGACAGTTTAGCCATAAGTAGATATTACATTGCTAGGAAAAGTGAACACATTAAATATCTACAATAACCTGCATACCCACCTCTGACAACTTCCATGGGTCAAAATCAAGCTGAAGTCAGTCTGGAAACCATTTACAAGCAATAGTTTGGATAATAACCTTCTATTTACCTCCTCTCTGTGTGTCTGCTTGTGTTTTTTGTGACAATCAAACATCTTTTTAGCAATGTTATCATGTTCTCAATCTCAGTAACCAAATTGGTGACTCAATGTGACTGAAATGATGGCCTAAGCTATTAAGTTAAGTCCCAAGGCATAAGAAGCTGTATTTTTCTGTTAAATTTTACATTGTACTTCAATAAGGAGAAACCATTGGGTGTTAAGTTATGGTTTGTATGTTGTGCTTCCAGAAGATTAGTGCCCGGTAGCAATGACAAACCTGAAAAATTACTACTGGCTCAAATATGGCCAGCAGTAGAGCTACAACAATGTTGTGCACAACCAGCAGTAAAAGGATACACGAAGAACCAGGCGGTGAAGAACATGCCGATGGCCAACAGGACCACAGTGAGGTGGGGGAACACAGCCGGGTTCACCGGGCTGGTGTATCTGGTCATGGCCTCAAGTTCCTGCAGGGACACGAGAGAGAGAGAGAGAGAGATCAGACACAAGCAGGGTAGACACGCTAAGTTATCGCCGCCACCAGTCAGCTTCTATTTTAACCTCTTACTATCAACTGCTCAGTCTGCAGCTGGTGATTAATGTTGTAGAACAATGTCTGATGTTTAGAATGCCTGAATCAGTGAACAGTGAATTTGACATGAGAGGCTAACGTTCCTCTGCTAGTCTGCACTACAAAAACAACAATTTCACACAGAAAACACGCTGTTTACAAACGAACCTAAGAATAATGTGTACTGATAAAGTGCATGTTACTATATATTAGACATAACCTCATGTAAACAAAATAAATGTACCATTTTATAATGAAGCGGAGCTCCTTCCTCTACCATCCAAGATGAGAAGGCCACGTACTTACTATCCCTTCCGGGTGTGCCGTGACGTAGGTTTTACGTGGCATAACGCTATTTTTACCCTCAATATAGCCTCTCAGGCTTCTTTTTTTCTTAGCCCGCGTACAGATCTCCAACGGTGTGGACATTTTTTAGGTTTATTTGAGTAAAAGTACTAATAATACACCGAAAAATACCCTACATTACAAGTAAAAGTCACACATTCAAATGCTACTGAAATACTGCCCCCTGTGACTTTTATAGCACATTCTTCCTTTGCCTTGTCATTATACACGACAGTTCGGTAGTAGGGAACAATTTGTAACCTGACAGGCAAAATTCAGGGACTTTATAGCAACTCTATACTTGACCACCATTCCTAAATCTTTGACTGCCATCTAATGGACGTAATGAAAAAAGCAGTTGGATCATCAACCACAACATAAAATTCAACCACACATTTATTTACTGCATGTATTCATAGTATTACAGCATATTTTTGAAAAGGCCTTGAAAATGTTATGACGGTATGGGCTAAAACAAAACTAGTGATATTAAAATACTCCAGTTTTAGTGTTATGGCATTTTATTTTCTCTTAACAAATATTGCTAAAATTAGAAATGTGTTTGTGTATGTGTATAAAAGTACAAGTGTGTGTGTGTGTGTGTGTGTGTGTGTGTGTTTTCTTGAACTCTTGAAGACCAAAAAAAAAAAAAAGCATTTTTGCTATAGTGTATATGTGTGTGTGTGTGTATGGATAGATGTAGAAATGTGTGTGTTTTCATGTTTAGAAATAATTTCTGGGCTCCAGTAGCTACAAGTTAATATATTATTGATAATACAACAACTGGAAAATATCAACTATAAAAACAATATGATAAAACACATCAGATAAAAAGGAGCAGTGGCTGGAAGAAAATGAAGCTATATAGTTACATGTAATGCAGGTGTACCAGAGTATCTGAAACAAGTCTGGTGCACTGGATAGAGCCAAAGCAGTTCATATATACAGTGCAAAAAGTGCTACAATGGTTTCATTAGGCTAGCTGGTGCATTATAAATAGGCTAAAATAGCACACTATACCCAGTATCTAAGCAATAATAATTATCCTACAAGCATTGTACACTGTTTTCATATTATAATAAACATTTTTCTGATGGCTGTTTTCCTATATTCCTTTAATATTGGTTTTTACATTTGAGATGCTACTGTGTTTTTCTAAATAATACACATACCGTATGGAATATGAATTTAAAAACAAAGTCTGACAAAAACAATAATATCATGGTGGTGAGAGTAAGTGGAAAATGCCTTCAGAACAAGAAATAATAAGAAAAAACATTATACAGTTCAAACACAAAGCTCCACTGTAGAGATCCAGGATTTGCCAGTGTGCACTACTGAGGTATATTTTCCCTGTGAGTTGCAACCATTCACATTCAGCCTACAGCAGAAGCCAATGATCTTCTCTCCTCTGCATAAAACTATTAAAAAGTGTTTCTGTTTTCAGTTGACACTGGTTTGAGTGTACATAAAGATTCATAGTATTATAAAACGAAACAAAAATGCATGCAGTGTTTTCTACAGTATCTTAGCCTGCACTTAATTTAATTTAGAAACTTGAACCCTGCTAAAAGTAATTATGGCTTATTTTAATTATGGAAGACAAAATGATCAGTAATAAACACATTGGTGTTACTTTCACAATAGTAGTTAACAGTGGCGCAACAGTAGTAAATTACAGTGATCTACGACATTTTCAATGACAGGAAAAACTTAAAAACAGTGTTTCAAACTCCAGTGATCACAACAGAGATGTCTTAATGCATATAGAGGGGATTACAGTGAGGACAGTGGTATATAGTTTGTTCTGCATTAAATCTCTTTAAAAATCATATACAAAAATAAGACAAAACCCTATCCCATCACAAAATCCTTATAATGGAACCACAAAGGTGAAATGCGGTGCATCACAAGGCACTGGGTCACCTCGTCTTCCTCCTCACACGCAGCTGCTTTGAATGAGAAAATGGTAGTCAGAGTATGATGAGGTTTCTCCTTCAGCGGTACAACTCACGTCACTCTGTCAAAGAAAACCAGGTGGAGATAACAATCAGTTCCACCCACTGACTTTACTCAAATCAAAGAACAGAGAGAAACCACATAGCGCACTCGTTCCTTATATTTTGGAGGCCAAGTTTACTCACAGACAGGGAGACACGGAAGTCATAGGTGATGTCCTGGAAGCCCAGCACAGGCACTGACCACAGGTGATGAGTCCCCTTAGAGCAAAGCAGAAATTAGTCAGCAAACAAGTAATTAACAGTAAGTCAACTGTAGAAAAATACGTTTTGATAAATAATAATGTTAGCTTCACATATTTGTAGTAGAACAATATAGCAAAAGAAGGAAATATGTTTGATTAAGTAGATCATTATGTACCTTTGTTGATGTACTCTGTCCACCATAGAGCTCTACCTCTGTGTGCCTGGGGCATAAACGTCCCTTGGTGGCCCCACATTGTCGTACCCACACACTGTGTGTGGACCTGCAGTGATTTGGTAAAGCTTTATGGTTCTGTTACTTCCTAACAATTTTCTAATAATGTCTTGATCAACTGGAAATCACTATGTAATCTGGAAATTATTACAAGGAATATAGAGAGACTAGTTGTTGTAGTTATTTGAAAATATCTGTAGTTTCTGGTGGAATGTCCTTGAACTGAAACCCAATTCAAATCATCCATTTATTATTGTGAAGTTTATTCTTCATATATTATGTTGAATTGAATGCCTTGCAGCCCTGCAATGGATTGGCGACCTGTCCAGGGTGTACCCTGCCTTCGCCCGATTGCCGGCCGGGATTGGCTCCGGCCCTCCCCCCGTGACCCCGTTCAGGGAATAAGCGGTAGAAAATGAATAAATGAATGAATGAATGCCTTGCATGTGCAGCTGACCTGCTGTGCACGACCAAAATGCTCTTCAATACTGGCTCTATGTTACCTATAATTTCAGCCATACTACATGGTCATTTCCAGAAAATCTCATGGGAAATTATTAAGAATTTACACATCCATAAAATAAATTGCCACCAGTGCATACATGCAGCTGTGTAGACAGCACAATCTTTGTATACTTACGTCATGTGCAAAGTAATTTGTGAGATAGAGGAATTTCTCTGTCCATGGAGTGATACTGTGTAGCTAGAGTCGACACAGAGAAAAGTAGCATCACCATACCTTTATTCAAATTGTGATACTGTGTCTTGTAGAAAATGGTGTCCAACCCTCCAGTAAAAGTTCGCAGACTCTATGGCCGAGTCACATTGCTGTTGTTCTGGCTACTTGTGGCTACTAAATTGCTTCATCTTGTTTTTTCTTTTAATCTGTCTCCAATCTGTTTGACATTAGCAAATAAGTATATACCTGCAGCTCCTGGGTGTTGCACAATTTTGTCCTGTGATCTCTTGGTTTGTCTCCACAATATGTAGACTAGTCAGAGAGGGAGCTAACCTTACTCCTGCAAAAATAAAAAAAAGCTGCATCATGTTCAGACATGCCCATGGCATTCCTTCATACAGTATGTAGTCAGGCTTTGTTTGCGGTTTTCAAACAAATGGCTTTAGTGTTTGTAGACTGCATATTATGTGTGTGAAGACAGTGCTGTGTCTGGGCTGCATTTGTGGATTTACTCTTTGTATGTAGACTGCGCTGTCTACGTGGCACTGGCTGACCCCCGGGCAGATGATTGGGAGCTCCCACTCCATCCAGGTCTGTGGATGCCGGCCTTTTGGACTTGGCAAAATACAAAGGTGCTGAGGTGTGACTCAGTCGGTTTCTACTGTGGCCGTCCTTATCCATTAGTCTGGACTTGGCCTTCTTATTAATAGTGCCTGGTGTGGGAACCACAGTGTCTAATTCTAGAAAAGAAAGATAATCAGTTCGCATTGGAAACAAACAAATAAATAACACATGTAAACATCTCATATTTTTCATCTTACCTGAGCTGGACTGGTTGTTACTTGATGTCAAAACTGTAGCTGATTGGTTGTTTAAAGGTGTGGTTGAACAGCAAGCTGCAGGATTTGTGAGAGACAGAGAGAATTAAATTCATATTCACTTATATCTTCTGAGCGAGTTTGTAATTGCTGTGATTTCCAAAACTACCAAACAGAGATGTCTGATCCTATAGGTCACATACTGTACTTAGGATGTCCACTCACCAGGTGCAGAGGTGGTGGACAGCGGATTATATGAAGACTTACGTGATCCCAGTGCAGCTCTTGACCTGCACCAATCAGATGACAGTATAGCTGGTCAAGTTAAAATTAAGATAATGGCACACTTAAATGCTAATGAATTTTAGGCAGTTTAGATATGTGACTCGTGATCTCCTTTCAGACAGGACACAACACCCAACTAAGAGCAATCAAAGATAAAGCTGAAAGAATAATAAAAATGAAACAAGTTGCAAGAACAACAGATGTTGAAAGCGTACCATGGACAGACAGGTGGACAGAAAGTTACAGTGGCAGTGAAGATGGGCATCCAAGAGATGTAGAGAACACAGGAAGGAACGTAGCTACACAAAGCAGGGACAGACATAATTATACTGAGAGATATTAAAGAGAAGATGTGGATTTCTTTCTTCATTCAGCCTGTTTTCATCAAATGCACGTACTCAGCTTTCTCTGTGATGTCTCCTCTATGGTGAAGGGTCAGCACATAAAGGACAGACATAGAAATGACACTGCAGGGAAACAAATAAAGATCATCATCATGCCATTGCTGTGCACACATGTAGCAGATTTATTGCTGTCCCACCCCGTCATATGCAAACGCATTTTCTTCTTCTAACCTGAAGGCCATGACTATGACCAGCGCTAAGATGGTCCCTTGCATGAACCTCTGACTGATGCAGCCTTGATCTGGAGGCAAATTCTGCAATTAAAGAAAACAGATTTCATACATTAAAAATTGTAAATCCCACAGTTCACCAATTTCTTACACTTTTTTAAAATACACCAATCATCACCACAGACCTTGCTCCCAGGTTTGACTGTCTTCCTCTTGAGTGGGCCGCTTCCTGTCCTGCTAAAATAACTCCCTGATTGGCTATATGAACAAGAATAACAAAGGTTAATTTTTAAATCCCTTTCTACTGCTCCATCTGTGCTCTCTATCAGCGTGTAACACTTGCTTTGAATCCTCAATCGAATTAGTCATGGCTCTCACCTGACAGTGCCCCCACTCACGGTACTTTTCATGCTGTCAAGACGACGCAGCTTGGCCAGTTTGCGGCTCCAGCGCTCCAGTTCATCTATACGAGTCTCCAAGTTGTCTGTCAGCTTACACAGCTCCTTCACTGCCCCCACGTTCTCCATAAAGATACGTTCCTTTGAAATTGAGGGAGAGCTGTTACTGTGTATGGAAGTAATGTCTGTTTGTGCTGTATGCATGCCTGTATGTTCATTACCTTGTTGACAACTAACAGGTTGGGGATAGTTTCTCCATTAGAGCACACCACATCACCCCCCTCTTTCACTGCTTCAGGCAGGATTTGCTGAACCTCTTGAGCAATCACTCCTGCATGAGGACATAACAAGTGCCAAAGTGAAAAAGAGGAACAAGAGCATGACAGCATGCACAATCCAGGACACACTTGCACAGTGACGCATATAGAGTAAAAAACATATCAGACATTAAGACATTAAGATGATGCATGATATACATGAGATGATTGAACTAAATGTTTAAATTTGAACACAGGTTACATATGACGTTGTTACCAGTCTCTGCAGTGTTCTCTATGCCCACAGTGGCAGCAAACTCAGGCTTGTACTGATAATGGACCAGCCTCATCTGAGAAATCCGTTTCAAATTGTCTGTGGTGTCGACCTACACACAGGCAGAATGATAGTGACACCCATGCAGATGGTATGAAAACACAGTGTTCATGTTGCAGACACACATGCTCAAGTATAATGATGACAAAACTCAGAGTTAAACTGCAAAGTCAGGGAACTGTGCTGAGTATGAGAATTTGTATGACATGATTTATGATGATGTAGGTACACAAAAGCACACTGACAGTTTGATAACACATACACAGTGAGATAACACACACACACACACACACACACACACACACACACACACACACACACACACACACACACACACACACACCTATACATACACCCTGAGTGTCATCCTGACCTCCTGGACATTTTCTTTAGCCCTGATGTCAGAGGGGTGTACCAGGGAGCCCATGACCTTCAGGTTGCCATGGACAACAAGGGCTTCATCTGGTCGGTCAGTGTTGATGCCGACTCTCCCGTGGTGGTAGACTGAGTCTGGCAGTTGGCCACGCTGCCACAGCACCTCATTGTCACTTTCAAACTGGCCTGGGTTGGACGCCTGCAACAGAGACAAACAATCGACACAGAGAGACTGTGGTTCAGATATTTCTGAAAGATATACTTTAAAAAATCAAAATAATTGCAATATTTTTAAAGTAGTTTTGGAAAATATGCTTACTGGCTTACTTGCTGAGAGTCAGGTTAAATGAGTGATGCCACTCTTTCTGCAGTCTTTCTGTTACTGCAAGTTTGCTTTGTCCCTTTTACACTTTGGTCTCTTCCTGCCAGCTTTATAGGTGCTGGTAGGCACATTTTGGTGATTTTATTTTATTGGACAGAGGCAGCAGTTTCCAGCATTTATGCTAAGCAATGCTAACAAGCTGCTAGATCCAGCTTCATATTTATCATACAGTCATGAATCAATAAACGAAATAGGCATATTTTCCAAAATGTTGACCCGTTCTTTTAACACAAGCGCTAACATCAGCACTTAGAGCTTAGTCATTGTTTAAATATACTGAATAAACAACATTTTTTTAGTAAATAGTTGTCTCATGTAAGCACATTGGCAAAAGCAAGCAAACGATCATGTACACAGCTCTCAAATAATGCTTCTAATGCTTATTAAGTTCATGCAGGTGTGCAAGACATCGCATTCACAATGGATATGATTGTTGTAGGAGGCAGACAGACATGGCCAGACGTTACCCTGACGATGATCCTCTCAGACACATGAGCAGCCACAGTGTAACTCTGACTGTGGGACTGAGCATGCAGTGCCACCACCAGCATGAAATACCTGCGAGGACAAAAGCATCAGGAGAAACTATGACTACTGGAACTTTTAATGTGACCAAACTGAATCATATGTTTATATGTGATGGCATGTGTTTCACCTCTGGTCAGGGTTTGGTTTGCCCTTCTTCCTCATGTTATTCGCTGTGGTCTCGCTGAAGTGGAGCCGCCCCACTGTGACCTTTGTGACCTGCTCTGGGGGCAGGGTGACACTGGAAGAAACAAAACCACAAATACATTATGCAGAATCATCTCCTTACACAGTTTTGTAATGTGTGTGCTTCTGTTAAAGGATAGGCTCAAAATTATTCAAGTGCAGGGGTTTTCAACCAGTGGCCCCCTGGTGGTCTGCAAAGGCATTGTAGGTGGTCCCATGCATTAAATAATATAGTTTCATTGTAAGAATCTTTCTTTTTTATTTACTAATTTATATGTATTACTTATTGTGTGTGAATAATCATGGCCAAAACCTCAAGTATTTTTGTCTGAAATTCTCTCTTTATCCTTCCACACTGTCCAGGGAAACAAAATGAGGCACTTTTATTAACTAAAAGCACAGTAACTTTGAAAGATATTCACTTGATGTGTCTTAATGTCTGAAACCTCATATTAGCCTCAGATAAACCTCTAAATAGAGGGCTGTGGTTTTTGTCCCCCATTATGTGCATTGTATGCACATTACGAAGCCACCTTTTAATAGCCAGAATGAAATGATTACAGCAAGCAAAAACAGCACCAAACTATTGTTTTTAAGTCCAATTTGAAAGTCTTCAGACTCACAGCACTGGCTTGAAGGGTCTCTTGCTGCGGTCAGATTGCGACTGCTCCACATTGATGGACTGGTTCATGGCCTCCACCTGACAATGAAAAGCAAAAGTACATGCACACTAATAATGTACAAGTAGCAACTATCTATCACATTCAAGTCATGTTCATTATTTTGCCTTCACTCACCTTTACTCCGTTGAGTTTGAGATAGAAGCAATCGATAGGCTGCAGGCCGTCACTTGTCTTGATGTACTTGGGGTCGCCCAGCATGCCCATATATACTGTGACCTGAAAATGGTTCTTCTTCTGACAAACAAAGGCATCGTCAGCCAAGGAGAAGTTGAAGCCTTTGTCAGCATCAACACGGTACGTTGGCATTGGACTAAAGAAAGGAAAGAAATTATGACATATGAACAGTGTGACTAGGAAACATAAGTGAATTCGTATTTTGTTAGTGGAATATAGTTTTTCTATTTTTATCACCAGGGAAAGACTCTTTATTACAGGCACTTCCTGTGTTTTTAGGCTCAAGCCCCCAAAGAGATACACATATGGATTGAGGTATGCAGTATTTTATAAAGAAATAGACAGTTTGTACTGTTTCCTGAAGTATGATGAGAGTAAAACCTATATTTCTTCTATTATTCTCTGGCTTTCCTAACTTTAAATCACTGACATTATTAAATTTCATATCCTTATTTGAGAACTCCAGTCCCTGAGGCTTAGTTTTGGTACCGTTACTTTACTACACTAAAAATTGAGATGAAATAGTTAAATCCAACTCAAAACAAATGAAAACTCACTGTTCCTTTTATGTAGGTGTGGTGTGTGAAAAGTTGTGATGGGCAACCAGGTGATTTTGATAACATATCTCAAAAAGGCCTTATGAGTTCATTTTAACCTTCCTCCCTATCTTTTTATTTTGGCACTGCAAAAGCACAAGTAGGTGTACACTAATTTCTCCCTTTACCCCCCTCACGTTGTCCTTCTTAGCCGAAACCCTTCACCCATTCACTCCCCCACATGGCTCACCTCTGAGGAATTTGTAGCCCTCTACAACCCTGCTATTCCTTTGCCACTCCCACTGTATACTAGGTTGAATTATGCACCTAGCCATTTATAACTGTTTTCATTTTTTGACTATGCAGCATGCTTTCGGGTCTTTTTGTTCCAGAACAAGGACCTCAAAATGTTCCGATAAGCCAAAATAAATTCCACCCACAGCTCTTTGCAGTTGGCGTCATACAGTGGTGTCCACTTGTTCTGCTGGTGAGGTTGCCACTTAATGCACTGATAGTTTGGGTCCAAGTAGGTGTTGTCGGGATCCTGCATTAAACCTGTGACAAACAGTTTGAAATATAAGCAATTAAGGTAAGGCTGAAGCATGTTTGGGAATGTGCATAACTGTTCTCTAAAAGTCTTTTATCTGTTTGAGAGTTAAAGGTTAGGTAAGAGCAGGTGAGTGTGAGGTAGACGAGGTGAGGAAGAGAAGAAAGATGCCTGCCTACCTGGTTCTTGTTTGATGATACCTGTGAGGATTTGGGAATTGAGGGTGCTGTTGGGAGAGTCAGAGTGCTTCCTCTTCTTGGCTTGGTGAACAGGGATGCCACTATGTGACAAAATGAAAACACAGTTAAAAGCTGTACATGTCCAATAGTTTCTTCTGTTCCAAACAAACTGGACAGCACAACACTGGCTCCCTCCTTCCCTCCTTCCTGTATACAGCATCTTCATGACTCACTCTTGCCCCTGAGGATGCTGCAGTAGCTGATGGAGCATCTGTGTCTGCTGCATGTCACCACTTCCGCTCGTAGCTGGTTCCATCGGATACTGTGATATCATGGGCTCCGGCTTCATGTACATGTCCCGATGCATGCTGTGATAGTGCCCGTGTGGTGGGAGCGGTGGCGTTGGAGTCATGTGACACATGTTCTCTGGTGTCATGGTCCTGATCATGTGAGGATCTACAAGACACAGTGAGGATGCTGCATATTGTTTACACAATTATCTATGCTGTTTTTACTTGCAAATACATTTAATCACACAGCCTTTCCTCTTTTGGAGTGTTCTATCTGTTTTGCATCTCACCAGGTATTTTCCACTCTTTCAAACTGAAGGGATGCCCATCAGATAACACTGTTCCACACCTTTTTACTAATGAGCAAGACCAACACAGGTGTGTGAGGGAAAGAAGTACATAATGACTTTGCACACTGTTGTTCAACTTGTATGTTGACTAAAATGTAAATTAATAAATGACAAACACAAGCTACTTTTAGTGTCTTAATTTGTTGATTTGTTCTACTGATCAAGGTACAACTCTGTTTGTTATACACTCTCTCATGCACCATTTCTCTCAGATTTTTACAGGGAGTGGAAACAGACATTTTACTCACCATTCACCTGCTGAGGAGAGTACGGCTCTGAGCTGGAGTCTGGGGGGGACTCAGGTAGTGTCCTAAAAAAATAGAAGGTTGTAGATATTACATTCACAAATACAATAACATCAAACTTTCAAAATTATAGAAATCTTTCAAATTGTACCATGCAGGAAGTTGGCATTTTATTTTCTAAACTGCCATATATCAGGGAGAAACTATCCTTTGGAAACAGAGTAAGTGAAGACTTTCTTTACAAAAGACTGTGTCCGTCAGGATTTTTTTTTTCAGGCTGTAATTTGACTCTCTCTCTCTCTCTCTGCCTGTTATCACTAAACCTCCCCCTCTTGACCAGCTAATGCTTTATTTGTACAAGTGAAGCTTAATCAAGTACTGGTTGCATAATGGACATATAGTAGGGTGTGTGTGTCTGGTTTTGTTACATGCATTAACAGACTACTGCGTCATCTGCTGCAACTTTTACCTGATTTTATGCGAGTTGCCAGTGGCATCTCGGACATTTCTTTAACATTCCAAAGTATCAACTCATACTATATTTCCTCCCACTTATGCCCCCATCCATCTACCTCCATGGCATTGCGCTCACCCTGGAGTGTAGTGACTCCTGTGTTCAGGCTTGACGTGAGCCTGCTGTTGCTGCTGCTGTTGGTGCTGTTGGTGGCTGCTGCCCCAGGCAGGGGTAGCCGTGTCGAAGGCCCAGGGACGGACCTGGGGGGTAGGCGTTCTGACAGTTAGGGGGCCCAGGCGGAGGGGCTCCTTGGCGTAGTGGAATAGGGGGGCTCACAGCACACACCAGACCCCCAGAGGAGGACACTCCTGCCTGGGGAGATGAGTAATTTGGTCCTGCGGAGCTGTGGACCTCTGAGAAACAGCTGGGAGACAGAGGGGAAAGAAAAAAAAATGGATTAGCCTTATCAGAAAAAACAAATTCCTTTGTAACAACATGATCTGATTCACTTAGTGCGTGCTGTTTTGACATTGCTAGGCTGGTCTGGAGTCCCTACTGACATGTCAGTGCTATCGTCCTCCTTGGTGATGTACTCTTCCAGAATACTGGTGTCAATGTTGGCTGGCTCCAGAGAACTGGTAATATCATGACCTGTGGTGAAGGGAGGGTCGGGAACACAGAAAGAAGATGGAAAGCATCTGAGAATTAGCAACAGGAATCTTTCAGCAACTCCACACACTGCTCTAGTTTCAACACAAGCTTGTGTCGTAACAAATCCCTGAAGGACTTAATAATATCACATGAAGTCAGTTTATTATTCACTGTTTTTATTGCGCATTACATAGAGCATGACTACAATGTATAAATAGATTTATATTAGAAGATAAAAAGAAGAGTTCTGATTGGCTTACAGAGAATTTTAAAGATTAAAATTTCAGGAGTGACAAAAAGTCATGTTAGTAGTCAGCATTACAACTCACATACTGATGATTCTCTAATTGGTTACACATATAAACTGGAATCTCTCTAGCTGATGGTTTCCCATAAAAATCACAGTTAATTTATTGTAACAGCATTCACTATCATTAGATTGCGTTACCTCCATTTTCGTTGTTCAGTGCAATTTATATATATCATTAAGGTGAGCTAAATCTAAAAGACTGCTTCTTCTAATTATGTTTGGCATGATTTAAGATAGATTTTTGATGTCATAGCACATTGATAAATAATTTTAATAATTTCCTAACCCTTCCCTTACTTCACCCCAGGGCCATTTTCACACGTTGATAGCCAAAGCTTCACAAATCCAAAACACATGACCCCACTGAGTCTTTAAAGGACCAACATGTAGAACAAGCACTTGCTTATACAGTGGGTACGGAAAGTATTCAGACCCCTTAAATTTTTCACTCTTTGTTATATTGCAGCCATATGCTAAAATCATTTAAGTTCATTTTTTTCCTCATTAATGTACACACAGCACCCCATATTGACAGAAAAACACA